TCTACTTGCTGGTCGCTTGGGGGGAAGCAGCTAACTGTTAATAAAACGATTTTCCATCGAATGTGTGACTTCCCGCTCATACATTCATCGTAGTCTAGACAACTTGTAGATCCACATAAAATTTATGCCAATGGCAGTATAACAGCTCGAGCCACAAAAATAGGAAAGGCGAAAGCAGAAAATATGAAAAGAATAAACTGTTTAATTGGTTGGAGGATTTCATCATGAGCTGACATCAGTTAGAGAACCATTGGAAAACAAATAGGGAGTACTGGACAGTTGTTTCGTCCTAGTTTGGAAATCATCTGCAGTGGAAACCTACCTCCAGGGCTTTAACCTAAGAACCTCCGATCACAAGGCAAGCTTGTATACCATTCAAACACTGGGACCCGATTCAGTGGCTAGCCCAAGAATTCTAACTTCTGCCAATTCACAAATTCATGCGCCATCGGATCGAGTCTCAAGGGCTTAATGGTCTACGAGCTCACCTTGTAACCAGAAGGTCCTAGGTTCGAACCCTGGTGGGCGTGAACTGATGAAGAGTCTGAAAATAGGACGAAACGGCCTTCCGGTACTCCCAGTTGGTTTTTCAATAGTTCTCTACTTGATGTCAGCTTATGATGAAATTCTCAAACCAATCAAAGAAAATCCCTACAAAACCAATCCTTGAAAATTAAACTGTTTAAGTAGCAGGTAACTTCACTCAATTACTGACTTCGCACTGCTCAGTATCTTAACTAAAAGTGGGATTTTGAAAAGAGGGATAGCTTAATCAATAAGATTATGAAGTCATATCTGTTCAATTGACTAAGAGATGTGTTATCCGTACCTAGTCACAGTCTCAACTGATGTGTAATATCTGCAGGTTTAGGGTGAGACTGGAAATAGTCAGAGGTGGGCAGAATAAGTCATGACACCTGTAGCAACTAGAACTGATTTTATTGGTTTGAACGCATGCAATTGAACTCTGCGTCCCACTGTTTAGATGACTTAAAACTTCTTTGTGTCATGCACAGTCAAGAAATGCTCCAAATACAGTAAACAGGCAACTGTTCGTGGTTAAAATCTTTATGACTCTTTTCAACAGTAATAACATTAGAAACCCGAAATTACTTCGATAGTGCCATCAGGCAACTGTACAGACACGGCAACTTTCTAAGCACAACAAAAGTACTGTAAAAGGAAATTAGTTAACCAACCGTCAAATGTAAGAAGTACCTAAGAATCAAGTAGGTTATTCCAAAAGAGGTGGGATCAAAACTCTTTCTGTGACAACCACACACCAACAATTCCCACACGCAGTCTAGGTTCAGAATCAACTTGGTTCACTTAAACAAAGTCACATTGTACGACATATTATTAATGTATTGGATAACTACAACGAGAAGCATTAAAATGATATTTCAGTAACTAGGTGAAATTAATCCATCTATCTAACAGTCCGAATTAAAGTTGACAATTTGCACCACTGCCGGTAAATTTTGTTTACACTTTTGAACTACTATATAATATTGTAAGTAGTGTATAATTAAATCATAATTTAAATTGAAGTCAGTTGATGAACTTTGGAATTTTTTGTTTCACAAAGTAGTAAACACGATCATATAGACGAAATACTTTGATATTATCTTCAAACTGTTGTCTTTTAGATGCATTCAACCACTGATAATCAATAAACACCGGTGAATTATATGAATCTTTTTAGTTTCATAGAGTATTTTTCAGTGGAATATAAACGTGAATGATGGTAGTATACATAATTGATCAGTTTGTCATGCAATTCCCAGAGGATTTAATTCTGAATAGTGATGAATTTAAAATATATACTAACTTTTAGACGGCATTTCAGAAAGATGAATCTGTTTTGTTAAAAGTTAAGTGAGTGGAACTGCATCTGCCAATGAGTTGATGTATTTAAAAAGTCTACATCGTTAAAAACCTTAAATACAAGGATAGTTTCTTGATTTATTTTATTTTATGTGATGATTATTTCATAATCATCCAAAACATAAGGTATGTGGATTATGTACACACTGACTGGTAACGCTCCTCAGTAATCCCTTCACATATCCACAGGAGACCAGTTATGAAACCTGATAGCTCTTCAGCGCAAACTTCTTTAGGACCAGATTTCAGGATACGTATTTAATCCCATTTGAGATTTTTCATCTGCCCCTGAGAATAACGCTTTGACATTTGAAACAATGGATACTGGGTTATCATTTCAGGAAGAATACCGTCACTCACTTGGCACCCCAAGTATATCCAGTTGATGAATCCGGAATAGGACGAAGTTCTCATCGTGTACTCCACTTCCAATCATCACCCTTCAAAACAAGAAATTTAACCTATTGATTTCAGTCTTGAGCTATGAAACAAAAGGTATACATTGATAAAAGTTTTACTGGCTCTTCATTCACATAGAATACATTGATTTCTGTGAAGAAATTTCTTATTGTTATTTGGTGGGTGGTGACCACCACTGGAATCTAAGTTGTTCTTTTCGTCAACTTGATTACCTGAAACAACCAGTTAGTGGAGATGTTCTAAGTGAGACTCAAACCAACTGCCCATCGTTTCAAACACCTGGACATCTACAACTACCTCCCAATTATGATTTCTTTAATTTTTTTTTGTACTTCTCCTTAGCTGATTCTGTTTTGGTCTCATGTGAAATATCAGCCCCAAGCTCAGATGGCCAAACGACTCACGATACTATAGTGTTATCCATGAAACAGCATCGTGTTATTCTTCAGACACTGTCGAAGTCTTTGTAACTGCAGCTGACATGTCGACATAGCCCGAACATTTTTGTCCACTATAATCAATGATTAGGGGAAAAACTAAATTAATTTAAGTATTGGTTTTGTAGGGATTTTGTTTGATTGCATGGAGGATTTAATCATGAGGTGACATCAGTTAATTTAAATTAATTTAAACAAATTTCCTGTCCGATAAAAGAAAAAAACTTTGCTCTGGTAATGATTTTCACCATCATTTAGTTCATCACGTAAATATTATTGATGTTTATGATATCAACAACGATTTCAGTGGGTTTTTTATTTGGTTTGATAAGCATGGATAAACTAAGTTTGAGGCATTTGTGGCGAGTTTCCTAAGATTTTTTTTTAAATTCAAGTTTTCAAATCGTTTGCTGAAACTTGTGAATTTTATGCTTCCCTCCCCCCCTCTTTACTGGATTAGAATGCTTAGTCCGTATGAATATATATAGGCTGTAATGACATAAACCATGGTGATAGCTTGGACTTTTCCCCTGAATTCAGTAGTAGGACTCAGAAGGCGTGTTTTGCTCTACTTTGGACACATTGGCTAGATGTATTTACAATAAATACAGACACTTAGCTCATATTATTTTTATATTGACAGTGAGGAGACCATTACTTGTTGGGTACAAACAAATTCGCCTAACGGATCCGAAACATAACGAAACGCATATCTTGGACTCCTCTCTCTGTCAGTCATCACTACTTGATAAACGAAAACAGTTTTATCCAAACTTTGTCTGATGACCATACATTATGTTTGCAAATAGGCATCAGATTTACAAAAATATGGAAAACCGGTCACTCTGGAATGTACAGCGCATAATCACGGAATACAAACTATCCATCTACAGTTGTCTGGGTAAAAAAATAATCATATGTCAGCTCATGATGAAATCGTGAAACCAATCAAATCCCTACAAACCAACACATGTTCTGATAATTTTTACGTGAGATTTAAGCTACTTAAATCATAACAAGTAGCTCAATTTTAAAACTGAATATTTTCGGTAATTTTCAAATTCTCATTTATGCATCTAGAAAACACAACAGATTGAGCGAAGAAATATATTCCTTTTCGATCAGTTCCTCATCATCGGCACTACACTAATATACAGTGGTTTTTACCAATCAAGTGGTTATTTTAGTAAGTCAGTTTAATGTACAGGCAGGGATGAGTGTATCATCCGCATGATATAAAGGATATCTCAGAAATCACTACAAGAAACTTCAAACCTCTAGGAATTGACGTCGTACACAAACCAACAAAGTCACTTCACTCAGCTGGCTCTGTGTCAACCAAAAGACTCAACAGCGAAAGAAGATGAAACCAACATCATCTACAAAATAAATTGCAACAACTGCGAAAAACACTACATTGGTCAAAGTGGACGTCCCCTTCGTCTTCATATCCACGAACACAAGCTAGCCGTCAAAAGACATGATATCCACTCCCTCATATCAACACATACAGACAACTACGGGCATCAGTTCGACTGGGACAATCAGCATTCAAATATTAGACAGATGAAACACCAAGAATGCTAGAGAATTTTTAGAAGGCTGCCTGGTATTCCAGTGAATCATCAATCAATAGACATATCGAGATAGACAAAATTTATCAACCGATAAGAAAGAAACCTGACACACAAAGGGTCAAAGTTCAAGTCAAAGAAACAATCAGTTCCAATACAAGTAGCCACCTAGAAGGTGTGAAAACACACAAAAACAACCAGTCACGACGTTCAAGGTCACCCGCCAGGAGAGATGATCAATAAACTCGTGGAGAAATCTAAAAGCTCACTTTAAATTGAAGTATGCGCTGAAGATGTCATCTAGTAGGGCGATGAAAGCTTCGCAAATTAACTATCCAGCTCAGAGAACTCAATCACATCAAAATCATCCTCCATCTGAACTACAAATCTTCTCTATCATATAACGTTTATATAGCATAAATTTTCCTAGCATATAAATACGATTGTACAGCCTGTGAAGATGATTTCGTCGATACAGAAAAATTTTCTTCTCTGAAATGTCTTTCATTCTCTTCATGATTCACTCGATGGGTATAGTTTTGATTATTAATTGTCATCGTTTTTAATTGATGTTGATCTTTAAAAGGTATTGTCAAACATTCAACAACCAAAAGGTCCTGTATTACTTTGGAAATAAATTACGGTTTGAACTTTTTATCTTCCTATTTTCTTCTCTTTATAGTTTGACAGCAACATTAGCAGCAATAGGCGCAGCAAGTGTTCCAAGCGCTGGTTTAGTCACTATGATGTTAGTTTTGACATCGGTTGGATTGCCTACAAAAGATATTTCATTGATACTTGCTGTTGATTGGTTACTGTAAGTTTCATTGTTAATGCAAATAAAAGTTATTATCTTTTTATATATATAGGTAGATTTTTTATATCAACAAGTTTCGGTCATTTGAAGTCTCATCAATTGCAGAGCATTTGCTGAATAACGAACATATATATATATGGCTTACGTATTCTCATGTTTGATGATTGCCTTTTGCAATCAAAAAGTCGGGCAAAATATACTACTGGTGGGATTAATTCATTAGTGTGGAACTCTGCATAAAATCGCAGCGTTTCAAAAGTTGTCCTACGCTTCGAAAAAGTACAGGCTAACTAGACAACAAAAATATAATGAAACAAAGATGTATGGGAAAGAGGATAGTGAGTTGAAGACAGGTGAGTTGTGGGCGATTTCGAGCCATTTAACCAACACACATTACAACCATTACGAACACGCCATCCAGACAGCTTAAGCCTAGACACATGTGGCTAGAATAAACAATTAAAGACTTCATCGACAGGTGCCATGTTTTTGTCTGATCACTTCTCCAACCTAATCATACTTCAGATAGCCTTTCCGGCTAGAAAAGGCAGCGACCTCGAGTCATCTCAATCGATGGAACTTCACAATCTCATCAATTGAATTTTCCCTCCTCCTTTCCTGATGTTTAGCATCTAACTGCACTAAACGGACGTATCTTTGAATTTCGACGTCCATGTTTCAAAAAGCCTAAAGTAGAACAAAGTGAAGTGGAGCACATTACACTGAAAACTAACAAGACTTTCCTCTGAAAACTAGTCAATTTTGAAGAAGTCGAAGTCACGTATGGTCGCATCTGCAGTTAAATTTATGGTAGAATTAGATAAAATCATTGACAATAAGCATCCCCGACATTCATCACTTCTAAAAAGAATACAGTCCAGAAAATCTAACATAGTTACATGAGCTGAGTTTGTTGAGTAGTGCAATATACTTTCTTGACGCTTATTTTACAACCACTTATTTGTATATCACCTCTTCGTAGATCGAGGTTAAGCATAACAGTCAGGTTAAGAAAAATTGAAAGTATAGGATGCGCGTAAATCTTCCATAATCTCTCAGTGCTGACGACACGACCAATTTTCACTCTTACCCGTGCTTATATTCTATTTGATTTTCTTGGATTTGCTTTTATCTAACCCCGTCTAGTCCTCCTAGAATTATGGGCAATTCAATCTTTAGTGTTAGTCAAGTTTACACTGCTGTGAATATCACAAGATTTTGATGCAACTACCTTGGATACCTGTACACCAACTTTTACACCCAACTGAGTACAATACGATGACAAATTCTAGGTTATCTTAGAAATACAGTAATCTATGTTAATGCAATGATGTAAAGTGTACAATGGAATCATCTGGATACCAGGTAGCCGGCATTAGAAACCATCCCCTGAATTCATTTTAAGTAAAGCCAATACTCATGCAGATAGAAAAAAGAAATACATTCACAATGAGCTGACATTGGTTAGAGACCCATTTGAAAACCAGCGGGGAGTACTGGACGGCAGTTTCGCTCTAGTTTGAGACTATTCATCAGTACATATCCACTGCGAGGGTTAGAACTCAGGACGTCCCTGCTACACAGGAAGGGCTCAAAGATCATTAAGCCATTGAGGTCTAATCCAATGGCCCAAGAATTCCAACTTCTAGTAATTTACGATATAGTGTGACCACTAGCCAGTATCATCCCTGGCGAGTATTTCTCCGCATACCCGACTTCCCAACGGAACCCAGCCAACTACCTCTCTGAATAAGTCCAGTCACCAGTGAGCATCAGATCAATGTTCAAGGGTTGATTTGCAGGGATTTGACTAGTTCCAGGATTTCATCATGAGCTAAAGTTGTTTAGAAAACCTGTCAAGTCCCTGAAAACCAAGATTAGAAATATTTTCTTTTAAATCAGAATGTTTTTTTCCTTTGAATTCAAGTGATGCTATCTAATCAACACTAGCAGTTCGTTTAAACTACCCGCCATGTGTAATTAAGATTAAGATAATATTAAGATCCCGTTGTTGTAATTATTCCATATATTTGTGTATTAACTATTGATTATTCTATTTCTATTTTCCTAGCGATCGAATTCGTACATCAATCAATGTCATGGGTGATGCAGTTGGAGCTGGTATAGTAAATTTCCTGTGTCAAAAAGAACTGGCACAAAATGATGCAGAGATAGAAAAAGAAATTGATGAAGTTGTTGAAGGGTATACACGTGAATTGTCCGCTACTGGAACAGATCGTGAAAAACGCAACTCCACTGGTACACGTCATAGTAAGAAACGTATGAGTTTAGCTGCAGCAATGCGTTTACAAGAGAATGCATCTCCACTGGGTACTGTCATGACAACACAACCCCCATTTGCTGATCCAGAATCACCAACGTATAAAAGTCAACCATCGACAACAATTCATCCAATTGATGAAACTAGAAAATAGTTTGTTTATTGTGTATTCAACGGGTTCGTTTCTCTTTATCTTCAATGTTTTTTTTTCTTTTCAGTACACACATTCATCCTTGTTCTTCTTCTTCCAAGCGGACAGATTTGCACGTATGCACACAAACACACACACATATATATATATACACCTACGATTGCAGTATCAATTGCTTGATTCATAAATTACACAATACATGGACAATTTACACAGAACTTGTGTGAATGCTCCACATTATAAAAAAAACACAAGGCAGTAAAATTTGTTAAGAATAATTAGAGCAAATCCCTTTTCCTTTCTTTTTCTTTTTGTCGTTTAATTATTATATAATTCCCTTTATAATATTATATATTTCAAATTAACAACTGCAATAGGGAATAAACAAAGACAGTAAGACAGATGATATGCAAGCAGCTAGCTTATTCTTATTATTCCTTTTGTAAACTATCCTCCATTTGAATAGTGCTCATATTTCACCACCACTTGTCCTTTTTTCCCTTGTCAATTTTGATAATCATACAAATGTTTATTAAAGTAGTAGTTGAAAGACTTATCACCTGAAATATATACACATATGCATATATATATATATATATTTATCATTTCATGACAGAGATCATCATCAATCCCTTTTCTAGACTGGGATATGTCAATCATTTAAACAATACAGTGCATGTAGGTGTGACCAAAAACGGGAAACAAACAACGACAGAAAGAAAGAAAGAAAGATGTTCAGTGGTTCAATTTCGACATGAACCATTGATAACATTGAACACATCTACATCTATACATATTATTTTTATTTTTTTGTTTGTTCTGTAGTAGCGTCCATTAAAAAAAAAACTAAACAAACATAGAAGTATTATTATTATTATTATCTATCGTCTTTACTCTTATCTTCATCAAATATTTCTCCTTCTCCTTCATTCAATGAAATCGTTTGTTTGGGAAGAAACCACAAGTTCAAATCCATTTCAATTGGGTTCATTTTTAAACAAAAACAATTTTATTATAACCTAATTAATTAAAGAAGTATACTTATTTACTTATTATTATTATATGTTGGTCAGTAATTGTTTATTATTATAATTATTATTATAATTGAATGATTTTTATGTTGTATTATTGTTATTACTATTATTCTTACTCTTAGTGTTGGTAATCAAAAAAATAATTAAAATAGATTAATTCAATAAAATTCAATAAAACACTTTAAAATAGTTCATTACTTAGTGAATAGAGAATATTTACTTATTGGTTTATTGATTTATCTTTAGAATTTTTAATATATATTGGTGCATTGAAGTTTCTGTAGCGGTTTGGTTGAGTTTTGCGAGCGTGGAGTTGCTAGCACGACGCCCCAACCCTCCGTCTTTATCCGGTCTAGGGACCGGCTAGAAAACTAGCAAGCTAGTCATCCAGGCGAATCAGAAACTTGGCGGGTCACAATGAATATTTCCAACAGGTCACTGCAGACTTTATCAACCAACAACTGTCTTCGCTGGGTCTATACTGAAGATTAGATGGCCGGGCCGGAAAGAATCACCAACAAGGAACTATGGGAACAAACAAAACAAGAACCAATCACCAACCAACAAATATGCAGGAGAAAGTGAAGATGGATCGGACACTCGCTGAGGAGACCGCTGGGTGACGTCGCGCGCCAAGCCCTCGAGTTGAACCCGAAAGGGAAGCGGCGTGTGGGACGTCAGTGCAAGGGTGACATGGAGGAGATCGTGTGAAGAGGAGTTGAAACAGTATGGAGTAACATGGATGCAGGTGAAAAGTATAGCAGAAGACAGAAGCAAGTGGAGACGTGCAGTTGAAGCCCTATGTTCCACTAGGAACTCAAGGGAACAATAATAATAATAATAATGATATATTGATTGATTTGTTTTTTACCATGAATATTCATTCATTCATTCCCATAATTTATTCAGAGCACAAAAAAAAGTGGTTAGAGTGAACAATTGTGTCTTCAGTAAATTCGTATTCTTCGTCAGACTTTACAATTATAAATCCATTAGTTTAATTTAGGCATACAATAACCAGACAGCCAGCCAGTCAGCCAGTCAGTAAAGCCGAATTAGAATCATATCAGAAATGTGTATTGTGGAACAAGTATAAGTAAGATGGTATGCAATAATAGTCACTTAGTATTTGAATATGCATGGTCACTGACAACAATGAAAACTAGTGACTTGCTACAGAATGCAGTTTCCTGGAGTTTCTAGTGCGAAGTTGTGACCAGTGAGGTCCATCCGATCAAGCATGAGGATGGATTTCCCACTGATGATGTTCGTTGCTAGTCGCGCTAAATGAATCAGGAATTCGTGGAAGTTACAATTCATGGGCTGGTCATCGATTCGCGCCCAGTGGCTGAATGGTATACGAGCTAGCTTGACTTGTAACCGGAAGGTTCTGGGTTCGAATCCTGGCGGTGGATGGGTACAACCGATGATTCCCAAACTAGGATGAGACAGATGTCCAGCACTTCTTGCTGGTTTCCCCTGGTTCTTTAAATGACATCAGTCTGTGGTCAAACTCGAAAAACATATATATATATATATATATATATATATATATATATATATATATATATTTTATTATTATTATTGTATCCTTTAGTTCCTAGAGGAACATAGGGCTTCAGCTGCGCACCTCCATTGCCCTCTGTTTTCTGACAACTTTTTCACCCCGCTCCAGGTCTGTCCACATGCTTTCATCTCCTCTTCGCACGACCTCCTCCAAGTCACCCTTTGACGAACAACTCGCCGCCTCCCTTTCGGGTTCCACTCGATGGCTTGTCTAGTGATGTCACTTGATGGTTTTCTCAGCGTATGGCCAATCCATCTCCATTTCTTCCTGCCTATTTGTTTCACAATCGGTTCCTGATTGGTTCGCTCCCAGAGATCCCTGTTGCTGATCTTTTCTGGCTGGCCATCTGATCTTGAGTATTGAGCGAAGACAGCTGTTAATGAAGGTTTGAAGTTTGTTTGAGATGCTCTTTATGACTCGCCAAGTCTCTGATCCGTATAGTAGCACTGACTTCACATTGGAGTTGAAAATCCGGATCTTATTTTTGATGCTGAGTGCTGTTGACCTCCACACAGATTTGAGAGTAATGAAAGCTTGTCTTGCTTTTCCGATTCTGGCTTTGATATCCTCATCAGTTCCGCCTGTAGTTGAGACGATGCTTCCCAGGTAGGTGAAGGAGGTTGTTTCTTTCAGGTTCCTCCCATTTATGCTGATTGTTGTCTGTTGTTGTTGTTGATGTTGGCTAGGAATCTTCATCACCTCTGTTTTATCTATGTTCACGTGAAGTCCTATCTTTGATGCTTCTTCTGTCAACTTGTTGCTTTTCACTTGCATATCTTCCAGTTTGTGGGAAATCAGACATATATCATCGGCGAAATCCAGATCCTCCAAGTCTTTTGTGTCAGTCCATTTTATGCCTGTTCCCTCGTTGGTTGCCGTTGTCTGTCGCATTATCCAATCAATTGCAATCAGGAAGATCATTGGTGATAGTAGACAGCCTTGCCTCACTCCCGTCCTCACTTCGAAGGCTTCCGTAAGTTTCCCGTTGTGGATTACTTGGCATGCAGCATTGTCGTATAACTGTTGGATGAGATGTATAATTGTCGATGGGACCCCGTAGTAGCGAAGTAGTTTCCAAATGACCTCTCGATCGACGCTGTCGAAGGCCTTTTCAAAGTCGATGAAGTTGAGATAGAGAGGTGACTGCCATTCCAAGCTTTGTTCAATGATGATCCGTAGAGTGGCGATTTGATCAATACATGATTTGTTTCTCCTGAATCCAGCCTGTTCCGGACGAAGTTTTTCATCTAGGGCTTGTTTGATTCTCTCCAGGATGATGCGACTTAGTATCTTGCTTGGAATGGACAGAAGCATAATTCCACGCCAGTTTTTACATTGACTTAAGTCTCCTTTCTTTGGAAGTTTGAATAAGTATCCGTTCTTCCAATCCTCGGGTACTTTGCCCTCTTTCCACACCTTCTCCAGCAGTGGTGTCATCAAGTCCGCTGTTGTCTCTGGGTCTATTTTCAAAGCTTCTGCTGGGATTCCATCTGGTCCCGGTGTTTTCCCAGCTTTTAGCATCTTGATTGCATTCAGGACTTCTGATTTCGTCGGGGGGTCAGTGTTCACTGGTAGTTCTGCTTCCGTTGTTGGTATTGTTGGACGCGTTGTAGGTGGCGGACGATTTAGAAGTCTTTTGAAGTGTTCAACCCAGTGCTTTCTCTGTTCCACCTCTTTGGTGATTGACTTTCCATTGTCGTCCTTTATTGGCTTAATCTGTGTCGAACGTTTGCCCGAAAGGTGCCTAGTTGTTTGGTAGAGTGTGGCGAGGTCTCCTTTGCCTGCAGCTTGTTCTGCTTCGTTTGCCATGGTTTCATAATATTTTCTTTTGTCTTCCCTGGCACTCTTCTTCACTCTTTTGTTCAGTGTATTGTAGCTTGCATTCAGCTCCTGTTTTTGTTGCTCGTCAGTGCACTGGATAATCTTTTGTTTCACTGTCCTTCTCTCTTCTATTAGTTTCCAAGTGTCCGTAGTGAGCCACTGTTTGTCCTGTCTCTTTTTTCTGCCTAGAATTTCTATGCAGGTTTGGCTCCACACCGTTTTCAAGTTGTTCCAGTGCTTTTCGACGCTGACCTTTTCGCTGGTGTTGATTTGTGTCTCGGCTTTGTCCTTTATGCTTGCAATGAAGATGTCCTTTGTAGCCTGGTCCTTCAGCTTTTGAGTGTTGAACTTGGCTTGTGGTCTATCTGCAGCTCCTGATTCCCTGAAAGCTTTTAATTTGATTTGGATTGTCCCTTGTACGAGATAGTGGTCTGAGCCAACGTCTGCTCCTCTTCTTGCTTTTGTGTCCAGTAGGCTGCGCCTCCACTTCCTTGAGATTGAGATGAAGTCGATTTGGTTTTTGGTTTGCCCGTCTGGTGACACCCATGTAGCCTTGTGGATATCTTTGTGCTTGTATACAC